GGGCCCATGGGTGAGGGCTTCTGTGCGGGCTGCTGTCTCAGCATCATATAGAACTGTTTCTCTTATCTTATCTTTTTGGGGCCCTCTATTCTTCTCTTTCTGGGTCTCTCTTTTCTTTCTCCGGCTCTCGTTTCTATCTCATATTTTTCTTTTTCAATTATGTTTTCAATTGTGTTATTAATATGTTATTTCCTTTTAATTATGTTTTTAATATATTTCTATTAATTATGATTTAGTTTAGGTAGGACTCATGGTATGATGCATGCTGCTTCTCTTTTCGTTTCTTTTTCTAGGTCTCTTATCTATTTATATATATTTTCTATTTGTATTTTATATATGTGTATATATATTATTTTCTGTTTAATATATTTTTTTTTTCTTATTTTCTGCTTACATTCTTTTTTTCCAGGATAGATCATCGAGGGATAGGTTCATCTGCGACCGGATGGTACATCGAATGGCAAGATTCATCATCGATTTCTACGCGAATACGGGAAGGATAGGAAGAACACTGGCGCGCGTGTCGGCGGGCACAGGCGTGGGTGTTCTCGGGCGCGATTAAACTTCGTTTGATTGTTCGAATCGAAAACGCGAATTGTAGAGTAGAGTCATCGTTTTTCTAACACTCGCGTGGGTGTTCGGGCGCGATTAAAGGTCCTACCGTGGACTTCGTTTGATTTCTTCAAAATTTCGTTGGGGGTACTTCGCGAATTTCGGCTTAACAGTAGAATCTACGTAATTATAACACACACGTGGGTGTCGCGACGCGATTAGTAGTCTAAGGAGTGCGCTTTGATTGTTCGAAATTCGGAAAGCACGATATTCGAATGTGCTTAATAATCCGTTATGTCTGAAGCGGACGGTGCAAATGGTGGAGCTATCTGTAAGAGGTGTGTAGTAGCAAAGCTACTCATACCCTGTTAGTTAAGAAGCCAGTGCATTGAAGCGGAAAGGTATCGCGGACCGGTATCGCGGAACGCGGATTTTAGAGTAGAGTCACCGTCAGTCCGTGGGTCTCCACATGCAGCAACCTCCACGTGGTGAGACCTGGGTCGTTAATACTTGCAAAGTTTAATTGTAAATCTTATAATGCAAGTATTATCGAGCGAATGGCTGCATGTCTTTATCCGATTTAAAAAATTGTTCTTTTCTTATCCATTTAGACTTTAAAGTACTTAAACATTTTACATTGCTAATCATATTATATGTCATGTATAATTCAATATTATTTTATAATTCAATGTTTATTTTATTATATAGTAGTCACTTATAAACATTTACAAACGTAATAATTAAATTCGATCTAACTTACAGGACCGTCAGGCAAGGTTACACCTAACTTGCTAATATTATTAATACGAAAAAATATAAAAATTGATCCATTCAGTGTTCATCATCATTATACAGAAGAAACGAGGAATTTTTATTATTTTTCTTAGCATTCGATAAATTTACGATTAATATTATTATAATACTACACTTCAAATTATTGTCATATTAGAAATAATAAATAATCAATAGATGATTTACTTCCAAGTTCATAATATTTAAGAAATAGTATATTCGCTTAAACATTAAAAAATCGTAACACATGAGAAATTTAAAACAATCTTAATTTAGAGTTGATTACGTAAATATCCTACAAAAGTTTATAGATTATTATGATAAACGTATGACGGTGGTAGCATTCCGTGCTTGCTCTTGTAGTATATATTTTATTAATATATATTATCACTCAAGTAATGAACTATCTTAAACATTATAAAATCATCGTTTCCATAATTGAAATAACGATTTTGAATAAAAATGTGGTTTGTCCAGTCTTCTAGTTTCTAATTGGTTGATTGGAAGCCATATTTAATGTTTTACTACGCAAGCGTTTGATTATATGCTGGTGTGTATATACTATATATGTGCATAACACTTAGCGTTAAAAATGGCGGCGAATATTTGTGGAGTTTTCCGCGAAAATTTGCAAAATGCTATTCTTAAAAGTAAAGTTCTTGTGGTTGGTGCAGGAGGGATCGGTTGCGAAATCTTGAAAAATCTTGTAATGACTGGTTTTAGTGATATTGAAATTGTAAGCCTATCAATATTTATAAAATATATGAATATTCTATAACCCCACTTTCTTGAATCGGTCTTTCGTAAAGATTGTTTATTTTTTTCTTTATTCGATTTTAAAATTTTATTCGATGCATGTCAAACTATTTCTTATAATATTTATTCTTTTTACAGATTGATTTGGATACTATTGATGTAAGTAACTTAAATAGACAATTTTTATTTCAAAAGAAACACGTGGGAAAATCTAAAGCTGAAGTAGCAAAGGAAACTGCTTTAACTTTTAATCCTAATGCCAAAATAATTCATTATCATGATAGTATTACATCGTAAGTACTTTTAAGAGTCTTTATTTTTTTGTTCATATTGTAATTTATAATTGTATAATTATAAATTAAATAAATGTCATATATTTTTATAGATCAGAATTTGGATTATCCTTCTTTAAAAAATTCTCCTTGGTTATGAATGCTCTTGATAATAGAGCGGCAAGAAATCATGTAAACCGTATGTGTCTAGCAGCTGACGTACCATTAATTGAATCTGGAACAGCAGGTTATGAAGGACAGGTAGAACTGATTAAGAAAGGTTTAAGTCAGTGTTATGAATGTACTCCTAAAGCGGCACAAAAAACATTTCCAGGATGTACAATACGTAATACACCGAGTGAACCAATTCACTGTATTGTATGGGCAAAGCATCTTTTTAAGTATGTATTATTGAATGATAAAAATAAATCAAAAAAGAGTTTGTACGATTTATATCTAATATTGATATAATTATGATTATTAGTCAGTTATTTGGCGAAGAAGATCCTGATCAAGATGTTTCACCAGATACTGCAGATCCTGAAGCAACTGGTAAATATTTTATATTTTAATAATCGAAATGAACGAAAGTTTTGATTTTTTAACAGTTGTATAAATTAATTTATTATTGTAGATACAGTTGCACAAGATAGTTTAGAATCAGAATCAAATAGTAAAGGAAATGTTGATCGTGTATCAACGCGATCTTGGGCACAATCATGTAATTATGATTCCAAAAAATTATTTACAAAATTTTTCTATGATGATATTAAATATCTACTCAGTATGGAAAATTTATGGAAAAAAAGAAGACCTCCAACACCTTTAGATTGGTCAAATTTGCCTGATGCTGGTTAGTAAAGTATATCAATGACATTATTTATTTGCTTCATAGTGTTTAGTATAATTTTTAATTTCTTTAGTACCTGGATCTAGTAAAGAAATGTCTGAACCTGGACTAAAAGATCAACAACGTTGGAGTATTGCTAAATGTGGAACTGTTTTTGCTGAAGCCATAAATAATTTAAGCAAAAGCTTAAAATCTAATCAAGAAACAACATCAGATAATCATCTCATATGGGATAAAGATGATCAACATGCTATGGATTTTGTTGCAGCGTGTGCTAATATTCGAGCTTATATTTTTGGAATACAACAAAAGACAAGATTTGATATCAAGTGTAAGTATCAAGAAAATTGCTTTGAAGTATTACAATATAATATTGTAATATGTTACGTAGCATATAAAATGATTCAATTTGTATATTATTAATTGTTTTGTTACAGCTATGGCGGGAAATATAATTCCAGCGATAGCAACTACAAATGCCATCATTGCTGGATTGGTTGTTCTACATGCATTTTATATTCTTGAAAATAGATTAAAAGAATGTAGATCAGTATACTTGCGTTTAAAAATGAACCATAGAAATCAGTTATTAGTACCAGAAAAAAATGTTAATCCTCCGAATCCTAAATGTTATGTCTGTGCACCTACGCCACAAGCTGTATTAGCTGCAGATACATCCAAAATGACGATTAGAGAACTTGATGAATTGGTATTGAAAAATAGACTTAATATGATTGCTCCGGACGTTATAATAGATGGCAAAGGTATAGTCATTATTAGTAGTGAAGAAGGGGAGACTGAAGAAAACAATAATAAAATTCTAGAAGAATTTGGAATAAAAGATGGTACAATTTTAAAAGTCGATGATTTTCATCAAAATTATTCATTAACTATCACAATAATGCATCGAGAACGACCTTCTGTAAAGGATGAAAGTCCAGAATTTTTAATACTAGCAAACGAAGAAGATCTTATGCCAAAAGAAGAAAATAATGATGAAAAACCATCGACTTCAAATGGCAAGGCAAGTTTAACATATTTTTTGTTTTTAGAAATTCATTATAAGAAAGAAAGAAATTGAAAAAGAGAGAGAAAAAATTAACAAATAGGTATATATAATGTTGACATTGTTTTACTATATTCTACTACTGAATTATATTTAACTGATGAAAGTATTTTTTACAGATCGATATCTCATCTGAAGATTCTATAATGATTGTAGAAACAGAAGTTACTTCTGCATTACATACAGATACAGCTAAGAAACGCAAAACTGATATGACTGAAAATGACGTCCTCATTAAAAAGCGAAAATTGGATATTAATAATGGAGAGGATGTTTCTATTATAGAAGATGATGCGACTGATCTTTCTTCCGAAAGGAAAACATCAAGCACAAAAAAAAGTAGATCTTCCACGGATGATGATTGTTTAATTGTATATGATGAAGGCACTGAGACAACTTAAAAGAAATATATAAAAAAAGTTGATAATGATAAGATATGTCATAAAATAAATGAACATATTCAGAGTAATAGGTATATATTAATTTTCTTTTTTGTATTTTATTTAAGGTAAATAGAAGTAAGCTTAAATGATGTGTCGAATTTATATATAAATAATTGTCAAAAATCATTTAATTTTCTAACATTTACAAAAATAGTAATTCTATCCATACATCTTAATTCATACATTATAATTAACGATTGTGTTATTTTGTCAATATTTATAATATAGAAATTAAATTAATTAATATTTTAGATCATTTCTTGTCTGCCTTCATTTTTTTATTTGCATCATAAAATGTAAAGCGATTGTTGTATTCATAATTAAAAAAATGTATAAGAAATAAATATTTTTTCCATATTTTGATTCTTATATCTTATATCTTAGTAATTCCTGATTTACATAGTAAGTATTTATCCAAATCATAATTATACATTTCAAAATCTATTTTATATCTTTCATGCAATTTTAAAATAGTGTTATGAGTCAAATTTTGAAAATATTTACAAGTCATTTTGAAATCAGTATATCCTCCTTTACTTTGTTCCAAATTTGGTAAATTCGTATTGTCTTTATCTATCCCAAATTTGGAAAAAATATAATTAATCTGATCAAAAGTATAATGATCTAATTTTAAAATAAAATTATAATTTATATTACAAAGAGCACAATGGGTGTAGTATTGATTCCAATGTACATCATCATGTTCAGGCGATTCCTGTAATAGCCACGCTACAAATTCTTTAAATGTAGGTACTATTTGTAACCTGTAAAATATAGATTAATCATTAATTAATGATAATATAATTTTTTTTAATTAATGATAATATAATTAATATAATTTTTGTAATTTCATTATAATCTTAATGCTATAAATATACCTTTTATCACGTGTAAATATTTTTTGGAAAAAACTACTAGTTGTTTTATTAGAACGAAATAAATTTGGTCTTGTCAAATGATATATTTTTTTGGTATAAATCCAAGCTTGATCAGTATATTTTGTATTATCTTCTATTCTATCTCTGTAAACATCGTGTTCTTACATGTAAAAAGAAAATATTATATTTTGTTAATAGCATAAAAAAAATTACCTATATGATGAAACAAGTCTTTCAAATGGATGCCTTACGACTAATAATTTAAATATATTTGAATCATTAGTCAAATGTTCCAACTCTTTTGAACTATGAGGTGTTAAAGAGTTCATGTTTCTAAAAATATCATATAAATTATGATATTTCATTTAATAAAAAAATAATATAAAGATAAATAAATTGTAATAGCTTTAAAAAACCTATGTTCTTGTATATTAGAGAATAATGTTGTAAAAGTGGTAGATGCAACCTTCCTGATCCAACAGTATAATGATTTATGTTTAGAACTATATAAGAAATGTTTTGTTACTAATGGAGTTCTCAAATTATATTTTACACATGTATTTGAAATTTGTTTAAGTAATGATCCATTTTCCTGTTTGAAAGAATACAAAATTTAATATGTACAATTTATTTTATATAAATACATGATTACAATTATACTCTATGTTTTAATGTACTTACCTGCAGAATACTTGATTCAAGTTTTACTTTATTATATTGTAATAGTTTTATATTCGAATTAACAGATTTTTTATTGTATGCAAACATTGTAGAAGAAAGGTCTATTTCTTTTATTTTATTATTTTTTTCAATATAGATATGTTCTATTAAATTTAGTTTAGCTTTTAATTGTAAAAAAAGTAAACAAGTTAATAGATATAAAATCACACAAAAAATGCATTTAACGAACAGTAGCTTCAGTGACATTTTGATGATGTGATCTTCATCACTTACAATTCTTTACTGCGATGATTATATACATCCGTTTTGAACAAAAACACAGTAGGAGTATCCAATAGATAAGTATTATCTTTTAGTTTTGATTTTCCATAACTTTATCATTTATAATTAATTATAGCCCTTTCTATTTATTAAATTTCATAATACAATAACATTGAATAATAAAATCCAATATAAATAATTATATACTTGACGCTAAAAATATTTATAAAACATTTGTATTTATAGATCGATCTATGCATCAAATTATTTTGATACAAAAAGGATAGGAAAGTTGAAACAATTCAAAAGTTGTTCTTTTTTTTTTTTTTTTTGTTATATTTACTATGCAAAAGCACTGAGAAACACACATAAATCTACAAGTGCAAATGCAGAACAAAATGTGAATATAAATTTTAGTAATAATAATATATAATTATTAACATATGTCATTTTTATTTAAAATTTAATTTAGATTAATATAATATAATACTAATTTAGATTAGTAAAAACTATTAATATTGAATTAAAAGAATATGAAATCTTTTGCACATACATATTTTTCTATCAAATGCATATGTCTCTATTGTTTATTTAAACTTTATTCCATTGCACTGTTAATCTATGTTTTTATTTATGGCAGTGTCTTCTATTAAGCCAACATATCGACTTATGAAATTGACTATAAATGTTACATATATGTATGCTGTAAAAACATGTAGTATATCAAAGTTACAGTTAAGATTTCACATATAAAGATCTTACTTCGCTAAAATAATGTAAAGCCTAGATATAGGTATGATTTGAATTCCATGTACAATAAAATTGAATGAATATATTTCAAATTGACAATATCATCTAATGTGGATATCCTCAGTATTTATTAGTTTCATTTTAAAAATGTTTTCTTACATCTGATATCTATTTCTATAAAAATATTAATTGTGTTAAAGAAGATGTTCTGATTAACATATATAATGCAATTCTATATGTGATTAGATAAAATGATGTTAATAGTTTGAAAATTATATATATTTCTAATAATATTATATATACTTAGAATAGGTATTGATACTAGATAAAAGACTAAAGAAATAACATATGAAAAAAAAATGAGGGTATTCACGTTAGACAAAAGTGATACTTATTGTATATTATATTTAGAGTATAGTTCCGACACCATTTTTATAGATTATTCAAAGAACTAAAATGAATTTTTACATGTTATTAATATTATTTCTGAAGTGATAGCATAGATTAGTAGAATAGTTGGATAAATGTTACGGAATATAACACTTAGTTACATATAATTTTTTTTTCTTTTTTTTTTTTCTTTTCTTTTTTTTTTCTTTTTTCTTTTTTTTTGTCATAAAAAGAAGGAACTAAAAGTTAGTAGTATAAAAGTAATAAAAAAATACTTATATAATATATAAGTGCATATAATAGCAGACTTAAATAAGTCTCAATGTCTAGACGAATTTTTTTTATAAAATCAATACATGCTATTATCTATTCATAATAAGGATAGTTGATAGTTGTGTATAAATCGAAAAATTAATAATATATGTGTATACTCAATAAAATATTTAAAATGTGATTTATCTACGGTCTCTGTATCTATGATGGTGATCACGAGATGATCGATGATCGCTATGTCGATTATGACGACTTGCTGTTCTCCATAAAAATTCATCTACACTTCGCTCATAACTGCGTTTTTCAAGTGCCGAAGCAGCTGCAGTATAGTCGGGTGGTAGTGGCAAGCCATCATAATATCTTGGGGGTGGTGGTGGTGGAGGTAGAGGATCATATGGATGTGGTGCAGCATAAGGTGGCAATGGTGGTAATTGATGTTGCATAGTACGCATATAATCTGCAACATAAGCTTCAGCAGCAGCAGCTACGCCCAGACCAGTGTTACCATATCCTCTAAAAAATTAGTTTTAGTTGTACTTTTTTGTTATTTAAATAATATACAACTTATATAACATGTAACTATGAAAATCATCATACTTTGAATAAGGTGAATCTCCTCTATTAAACCAATTAGTGTATCGATGATGGTGATGATGATGATGATCCCTTGAGCCTCTATGTTCTCCACTGGATAAGTGTGATCCTCTTGCTAAAGAAGCTAATCGTGATCTTGATGTCAGGAAAAGTCGACGTCCTCTGCCTCGAGTACGTAAAAATCTACTATTATTACTGATAGGTCTACTATCTCTATATGAACGTGTTGATTTAATAATATGTTTAGCTGCTTCTTTAGACTTTCTTAAGATTGGAGTCATTTCTATCCCTGTAAAATATAGAATTTTTATGTAAACAAGAATTAGATATTATAAATAAAATTAATTTTTAAGATTTACCTTCATCTTCAGGAAATAATCTGCACAATTCTTCTGCGACACGAGGCTCAATCTCTTGACCATCTCTACCGATTTTAACTTGCTTGCCATCATTCCAAGGATTATATAAATGCAATGTTGCTGTAAATGGTAATTCTTTTCTACATATCCAATCTACTTTGAATACACCACCTAATGCTTTTGCAGATAAGCCAGGAGGTAAAACCTAAAAATAAAAACATTTATTTGTTATAGATATAAAGTATTTGTTATTTTTTTTTTTTTCTTAAAAATGTAATTATAAATCATATATACCCATGAAATAGGTGCTCCATCTCTTCTAGATTCAGTGCTGAGCCTTGCAAAACCAGCAAATTTTCCTGATTCTTTTACAGAAAAAATAAGCAATACGTTCCGTGATTCTCTATACGCTTGGTTTAAATTAGCTTCATTCTGAGGAAGTGTGCTCCATACTCCTTTGGCCTTGGAAAGTGTTACGTTCTCAGCATTGTTAGATTTGATGATGAAAAATCTGTCAAAAAAAAATGTATGATATGTTCTTGATAGATATATAAATTATATATATATATATATATATATATAAGAATTTTTTATTTTTTTATTAATATTAAGTATTAACATAATCGATAATACATTGAAAATTTATATTTAAAAAAATATCTAACCTTGCATCTCTAAATAAGTAATTCAATTTCGTTGCATAGTCATAACTCTTAGCAAGTCCTTTGCTCTCCTTAGATCTTGCACGCTTAGTTTCGGGACTGGAAGATTTAGATTCTCTTGACCTAGCACGTTTTCCTTTATTCTTGCGATTCCTCTTGTTATCCCCACGCGATGATTTAGTAGAAATGGAACTTATACTAGGTTGACTAGAATCTGAATTCGAGCTGCTGGATGATACTTCACTGCGTGTATCATATGTTTCATCAGCTCCAATTTTTAATTCATCCACTATATCATTTTCTCCACAACTTAGATTTAAATTATCTGCATCTGCGTTGCTGTCCATTCTTCTTCTTCTTCTTCTTCTTCTTCTTCTTCTTCTTTTTCTTCTTCTTCTTCTTCTTCTAGTTTGAAATTGTCCTTGATACTAATATGATATAGGCTTGAAGATCAGTTCTTTATTGATTCCTTCATCCAGGCTCTATCGTTTTAGGAATACAGGACGTTACCGTGTAAGACCGATGCTGTGCTGGCACCTTTAAATATTTTCTGAAAATCAAATATAAAAAAAAGCTTACTAGTTGGATAGATAAAATAAAATTGTACTTGTCCCACAAGAATATCATATTTGAAAGGATTTCGTACATCTTACGATAATTACACGGTAGCAAACAACTCAGTAATGTTTTTAGTATAAGAAGATTCAGAAGATCGCACATAATATCCAATTTAAAGTCACTGTGGTAAAAGATGTAGTTTTTATAATGTTTTATTATATTCAAGAAATCCATTGGCCAAAAACTTGCATTGGTTTATAACTCTTGATACTAAAATTGTCTTCGTATACTTTAATTAGAACGTGTGTATAATCCATAGCAGTTTCCAATTTACATCTAACATTATCACAAAATGTTCATGTTCCAGCTATGCACAATCAAAATTGTTTCGCGCTATGGTTTAGTTTTCGTTAAAATTTATAATAATAAAATACCATTTTAACTGACGTCTCACGATTGTTATTATGAATCGTCCGTATATAACATAAAAATACCGGTTGTGAAAATTTATGTGATTAAATTTATCTTTTCAATTTAAACGTTAAGCCCTAATTTTACCGAATAATATAATCAGTCCTTAACATTCTTCTATATTTCATGACACATAATATACTCGTTTTTTGAAAAAGTTTCAATATATAGTCTTTTAAAGCGCGAACGCTATGCCTACAAAAGTTCATCGTTAAAACAGGTTTTAGCTATGTCTTGGCACCACTACGGATATGTAAAATGATTATATATCCTCATCAATCTTAGAAAAGTTCATGTTTTGCGAAGATAAGTCCTTGATGTTTTACAAGACCTTCAGTGGCTCGTACACACTTACGTGACACTGGTATTTTCTTCACTAACACAATTCGCACCTCACCAAAGAATGCTCATCGATTCAAGCGCATTTAACGGTTTTCATTTATTTGACACAGGATGCACACCATAACTTGCTTTCTTGTGATGCAATACACGATAAACAGTTACGTGCTCACCATTATACAAACCGTAGCGTCCATTGTGTGTGACGTGTTCTCACCAGTTCTCACGATCGATACTAGCGACCGTAGTCCAGATTTACGGGATAACAATTTTGATTAGTGGTTAATACTTTTCTTCAATTTTTCATAAAATTTATATAGTTCTTATGTAAATACGCGAGAATCTTGTTTAAAAAAAAAAATTTTTTTTAAATATAATCATTACCATTCGTCTTATTACTCAAATATTACATATATTTTAAATAATCTATGTGTGTTTGTCTATCATAGGGTAAAATGTAAGATAACGACATTTATATAAGTATTACCTCATGCCGCAACTCGTATTATTTATTTAAGACATTTTCGTAGATATAATAATAATAATAATAATAATAATAATAATAATAATAATAATAATGATGATAATAATAATATAATGATTTTATTAAAATATTTCGGTCAAAGCTGTAAAAGCAAGAAAAAAAAAACAGCTGAGCTTGTTCTTTTATGTGTTTATATATTTGATAACTTGCCGTGTTGAAAATTCCCTAGGAAAGACCATAGACGCCATCTTCAAAAAAGGATGGCGACCATCTTGGACCATTTTTCACGGGTTGTTGACACGGACGGAACCCAGCCGGTCGTGAAAGTGTTTCGTGATGTAAAACCTTATTACATTTAGTTTTAAATAGAATCAATTATTATTTCCAAATTAAGAAATAAGTAGAATAGTTTTCGATATTAATAAGATTGTTAGATCTGGAGTCGTTTTAACACAAGTAAAAAAAAAAAGAATCCGTGAAAACAAGCGTTTACCAGGAATCCAAGCAGTGATTATCATTTGACAGTGCCAAGAATAGTTTCTTTTTTTTTTCCCTTTAGGAAGAAACAAATTTTAAGTGCGCGATAGAGAGTCCTGTTTCTTAAAGGACTATCGAATCGTTAGGGAAAAAAAAGAAAAAAAAAAAAAAAAAAGAAAAAAAAACAAAACTTTCAATACTACTCTCTCCATCTTCCCGGAGAAAATGGTTTCGTGCACATGGTGACATTTCTGGTTAGTTTATATTTCCTATAAACAATTAAAAGTTTTTTGTCCCTTTTTTTTTTTTAACACAAGAGAGATTTTTTTTGTACTTTAATATATAGATTTTTTTTCTGTGTATTGTGTAAGTGTAACGAATAAGAATCAACGTTTTGTATTCACTACAAAATCATGATTTTATATAGTCGTTATATTTGATGGCTAATGATTCATAATGGCGCTTGGAAGGTAGATTTATTTGGATATATTTATACACATATTTATATTATCACATTTTATTATATCTATCTAACGAAATATTATTATCAAATTTTATTCTTTTATATTATTTTTCTCGTTGATAGAATATTTATTATTTTCCTTGTTTATAATTTTGCTCCATTTAAATATTATCTTGAAATAATCCATATATTCGATTTAACAAATATCTTTTCCTTATTAAGGAATAAAAGTAAATAGATGAAATGATTTTATAAGCAATAGAAATGAAATTTATTAATCCGAAGAGAAAAATTAATTCATATGCTTTCGTATTTGCTTGCATAACGCGTGTGTGTGTATGTGTGTTGTGTGTGTATGTGTTGCGTGTGTATGTGTGTTGTGTTATGTGTGTGGTGTGTGTGTATGTAACACGTTTATGACTTATACATTTCTTATTGGACGTAAACAACTTGTTGTTTAATAATTTATTTCTTGTTTGCAATTTTAATAAAATATATTGAAGTAATAAAGTAATTATAATCATAATTTAAAATATAAACTTATATACAGTATAACATAAATTCTATATTCTATCTATAAATAAAGTAATTTTATTTTTATGCTTTTGTATTCGATCTTGCTACATTTTTTAATTATTTTATTTTATATTTTATGAAGACTACTTTTTTATAATGTGTTTTATCAATACTCTATAAATATATATATTATATATATATATATTTATATATATATATATATTTATATATATATATATATATATATATTATTCAAAGTTTGCAAATATCAGTTAATAGAATCGTGCTTAAAAATTTCATTAACATTCAAACTTTAAATCCTTTGATTAATTTTATTTAATTCTTAAAAAGACTTTAGTAGAGTTATTCATGTAAAAAAAAGTTAATATTTTGTATTTAAAATACATTAGAAAGAAGAGAGAAAGAGACAGAATTAGTTTTATTGTTAAAATTATAATAAAACTAATGTTTGATTTTCGAATTATTTTTTCTTTTCTTTTCTGTTTTTTTTTTCTTTTTTTTTTTTAATTCAAAAAAATATTTATTAAACACAAATAATATATGCAAACTAAAAAGAAACTCGTCTTTGCATTCAATAATACAATATTAGCACTTATTTTGTATTTGTTAATGTACTATTCACAAAAATTTATACCCTAAAAAAGTATCTATTGTCATGTAAAAATCCAATGTATGAATATATGTCTCCTCTTTTCATGTCTCAACTACAGAGTAGGATTCAAGTATTGATTGCAGGAGCATGGTGTGCTATGGCAAAGGGAGGAGGGTAGAACCCAGACAAGATCTACGTCTATATACTATCTTTACACAAACTCTAACTCTAAATGATTTTTATAAGAAAATAATAAATATTATTTTATTTATTATTTAAGATTTTTTATTATCACTTGCAGTACTGTACTGCTATAAAACTTATAAGCATGTTTTCTATGAGTATGGAAACATGTATCTAAATTTGAAAAAGGTCAGAAAAATCAATACACTCTGCAAGTGTTTAATGAACAGAAATATGTCAATAAAATTATAATAAATTATGCATAAGATAATTAAGTATAGATAGGTTTATGTTTTAATATTTTATTAGATATTAAGTTCTTATTTTTTTTTTTATTTTTTTTTGATTTTTCTATTTTTAGAATAGAAACAAGGTGGTGAATATGCACTATATTCTAATGACAATGGGCTGAAGTATTCTGGATTACAAATCTAATATATGACTTCTATATATACCTAGAATAAAAGCAGGTATTATTATATATCTACTTAAAATTTTTAATAAATAAATAAAAGTATCTTTATCACAAACATAATAAATTTATTTATATATATATTTTTTTTAATGAATAAATAATATACATATAACGTAATTTTTTTCTTTGTATATAAGGTTATACAAACAATGGCAACAGTGGAGGAGAAGAAGCGAGTAGGAGGCTCTAAGGTTTCAGCCATAGCAAATATTTTTCAATCAAAACCACAACTGGATAATTTAACTCACAAAGGAAATGCAATTTTATCGGATGGGTTTAAGGAACCATCTGTACCTCTAAAAGAATCACCTACACAAGTAACAGTTGTAAGAACAGAAAGTCATGTTGCACGTTTCAATAATGCTCGTGCATTATTTGAAAAACTTGGTGAAGAAAATAAACCAAACAGACCGTAAGTTGTTATTAAACGTATAAAATTACGTAAGCCATAAAATTTTTAAATATTGCATATTTATGTCTACAGTGTTGATCGTATTACAAAGCCAAGTAATTTGCATGGCCTGCGTTCTCGCTCTAGCTCTGCGAATTCAGGTTCTGGATGTACTTCTCCAGCTAGATCACCACGACCACGTTCTCCATCACCACCAGGAACTAGAGATCACTTGAGTAATTGGAGTGCAAGTGTACCAACTTTAAATGCAGAAAGACATTTTGAAAATGGACATAATTATGGCTTGGATAATGTAACTGACAAATTTAAAGCGCGCATTCCATTTAACAAAAGTGAAAAGAATTATGGAAAAGAAAATCGTTTAGATGAAAGACCAGAAAAACCAGAGAAACCAGAAAGAAAATTAAATTCTAAAGAATTAATAGAAAAACAAAAAAATTGGACAAGCCATTTTTCTAAAACTAGACCAAGTAGATATAATTCTGACCCAAATCGATCAGTTGTTCAAATTTCTTTAAATCAAAATTTTAATAAATTTTCTGGTGATAATAATTCCACGGGACTTAATGAGATTTCAAGTAATGTAGAAAATGATACTAAAAGATCAACAGATGTATCTGCGAGTCCAGCAATAAGATCTGCAAGTTTTTGTTCTGCAAGGCCATCGGCTGCTACATCTCCTCCTCCACCTCCACCACCAACAAGAAATTCTTCCAATGCTAATACAAAAAAAGAAAGACCTGCTAGTATTGCCTCATTAAGTCCATCAGAACTTCCTAATAGTCCAGAATATGCTACTATAAACAAATATTTTGAAACTTCCCCGACTATACCTGAATATGCTGTTGTGCAAAAAGGTTCAAATATACAAAATAGTAATAATTTGCAACGAAATCAAGAACAAAAAGATGTTTCAAAGAATGTACTTAATGCACCTGCACAAAAAACTCAGGATATACCTGTACCTGAGTATGCTGTTGTACAAAAAAGTACAACAGGAAAAGCTCTTGCCAAAAATTCTGAGATTATAAAAAGCACAGGTACTCAAGCGTCTAAAACTGTAATAAATGCAGGAGTTAATAAAAGCAATTCTACAAATTCAAATTGTAATATTCCTGGGCCAATAAAAGCAAGTGTTCCTTTGGGAGAAAGAAGTTCTGGTACTTCTAGTCCACTTTGCAGCATGTCTACAGAAAATACAGTAAGCAGCAGTATATCTGAGAATAAGATGAGTAAAGATATAGATTTCCTTGAAGCACCAGATTATGTAAATTATCCAACAAGTCCTATACGTTCGCCACCAAAAACATCAGAGTGGAAAAATGAATGGCTGGCTAAAAATGATGAAATTTTGAAAAAAGCTGCAGACTTAAAATCATCTAGAGATGCATTAGATGTGGAAATAAAAAATGAAGTTATTAGAACTGATCCAAGACCAGATTGGGCTAAACCATATACAAATACTACAAAAAGAAAAGATGTTCTATTAGAAGAAAAAAGAACAGAAGCAACAAAATCACCAGAATCTGATTTAAGACCTCCTTCACGAGGTACTGATAGTGCATCTTCTAGTA